TTTCCTTGGGATTTTAGCACACTAGCCAGGTTGCCGGCACTTGTTAGGGTGCTTGGGTGGTCTGGTCCAAGAATCTTCTCACGCCCCTCCAGTGTACGCCGATTCATCGCCTCTGATTCATCGTGCTTTCCTTGGGATTCTAGCACACTAGCCAGGTTGCCGGCACTTATTAAGGTGTCAGGGTGGTGTGGTCCAAGCATCTTCTCACGCCCCTCCAGTGTACGCCGATTCATCGCCTCCGACTCATCGTACTTTCCTTGGTGTTCCAGCACAATAGCCAAGTTGTTGACACTTGTTAGGGTGCTTGGGTGGTCTGGTCCAAAAATCTTCTCGCGCCCTTCTAGTACACGCCGCTTCATCAGCTCGGATTCCTCGTACTTTCCACGGTGTCGCAGCGCCAGAGCCAGGTAGTCAACGGCATCCAGGACGGTGAGATTGTTTCGGCCCAATGATTCCTCAATATCCTCTAATATATTCCGAAGCATCTCCTCTGCCACATCTGCCTTTCCTTGATATATGCGTACCCCCCCCAGGACCATAACTCTCCACGGGCCCCCCTCATCCCAGTCATACTCTTTCCTCTCTTCCCGAAGCGCAATACATCGACGCAATTGAACTTCTGCATCATTGTAGGAACCCTTGCCCACAAGGTACTGTGCTAGGCGAAAGCAAAGCTCTTCGGAAATGGGATCCGTTGAATGTTTGGTTACTACAAGCACATGCGGAATGTATGTAGAACTAACATCCCTCCACGTGATCCAATTCCGAGGGAACAACCTTGAAACTACTCCCAGCGCAGTGGCCCTCCATCGATTCAACTCCTCTGTTGGTAGGTAGACTTGTAGAGAAAGCTGGACCAATCGATGAAGTTCGTAAAATGTCTTGTCCTCACATTTGACAGCTGTAACTAATGAAAATCCCAATAGTTTTCCAATTGCCTGACGAAACTCAATTGGATCATCCATCCCTTCCAAACCACATTCGCTCAATAGCTCCTCGGGAATTTTCTGACGGTCGAAGAATGCAATTAGACGCAGAAGATCTGCCCCTTTGGGCATCTGCTGTGTGATTCGGTCGAAGGTGATAAAGTACGTAGCTAGGATGCTCTCAGTCATATCAGCCTCTCGTTGGATATCGCAAAACGGCCGTGAAAGTAGTCGCTTTGCTTGTTCGTCATTTGCCCGGAAAATGGTCCAGTAAGTTGATGGTGGTGTCTGGGTTACTGTCATGAAGGCTGCCGCTCCTACAATGGCCAGTGGGATGTAATGTAGGGAGTCTAGTATCATGGCGATCGCCTCTATTTCTTCATCTCTCAAACCATTCCAGTTCCAGTTACCCAAGCGTTTCAAAAGCAATTCCTGAGCTTCATCCCCCTCCATTTTTCCGACATCGATCCTATGGCATCCCTGCCATGATGCGACTTGGAGAGATCTGGTGGTGAATATTAGAGTACCCCTGGGGCCTTGCGGTACGAATTTGGAGATGCGACCACTATTGCCGATAAAGTCCTCCTCGTTATCGGCATTGTCAATGACCAGCATCCAATCGCCCTGATCCGGACCTTCAAACCACCTCTTTACATTTAATAGGAATTCCTCTTCGTCCATCTCGGCGCTGGCTAGGGGAATTCGAACATGTTGCGCAATGGCTCTGAAACCCTCACTGAACTTTTGTACTCCACTTCCAGGCACCCAAAAAACATGACAATCGCTCTCGTTTGCCCGCTGATAAACGTATTCGAGTGCAATCTGCGTTTTTCTGGGCAATGTTAGTAAACCCGCGAAATTCTGGCAACAATGGTGGATACATACCCGGAACCGCCCAATCCGTGGAGTGCAATCCGGTTGTGGTTACTACCCTCGGAAAACCTCTTTACCTCCTCAATGAGATCTTTACGGCCGGTGAACTTGCTGTTTCTACCATAGGGAATCATCCGATAAGGCCCCGATGCTTCTTCTAGTTGTGATACCGGTGGCACGTTAGATTTTGGCGGGAAATCTCTCGGGAAGCTTGAAAATACCTCTATCCCCAGCCCCAAACACGCACCCTTGATATATCTCCCCATGATTGGTAACATTGTTCAGGTTGACGGTGTTTGGGTTATTATTATTACTACCAAAAGCATTATGATTCCCTGAATTCCCGCTGAAGTTTCCGGTGATATCGGCTTGCATTTTTCTGGAAAGATTATTGGATTAGTGCTCATCATTTTGAAATGGTAAAGTCTAGGAGAAGGGCATCCCACCGATCCATCATGTACTGTACGGGAGTGTTTAATTCACTGTAGGACTGTTTTCGAAGGTCGGATAGGAAAGCGATAAAGTGTCGCTAAGGTATCTGAAGCGGGAATAGTAGTCTATCAGTTGCCGATCGGGGTATGTATAGCTCAAAATTGTTTGGCGAGACCTGAAACAAGTCAATAACGGGGGAATCCGGTGGAACGGGTAGTCGAGGACCCAACCTTGTATATAGTGATGAATAATTCTGTGGTTTTGATGGAGTTGTGGGATGTAATCCAAGCTCGAGCTATGGGAATTTAGTGAAGTCCCAAGATTTAGCATACGGGTACAGAACAGGTATTAGAGCAACCGGGTCCGGAGGCAGTACGGTAACGCGGGATCCAAGAAGTCTTAACAGCCTGGGTGGGAAAGACGGCAGACGGCCACCTGAATGCTAAATTTAGTTCCCTGGTAGTTTGTGGAATGCCCTGGCGCTTGGGCTGACTTTGGTCGCGGCCAGGCAGTCATCAGTATTTGGTGCATGTGTGGTTACACCGCATGAGGCTGGAGACGATAGCTAGATAACTCCCAACTGCATCCTCCAGGTGGACGTGCGTTTCGAAATAGGCATCCGCTGTACCTTTTTGGAGGACATCCAATGATACCGATACACGAATAGAGTTGCTTTGCGCATCCTTGGAAAGAAGCATTCGGCTCTTACTAGGTTATTTTCTGGATAAGAGGCTGCCCTATCCTCATGGCGAAATAAGCTGATAACCCTACCTTAAAAACTAATCGGACATCTACTGTACCGTACAATCCGAGCTGGGGCAGATTTCGAATACTGCGAGTTGAGTCACAACACGTCTGCTTAGTCGCAATTATTTGAGACTTGTGATTTCGTGAGGGCCACGAATGCTAGCCGGCTTGGGTCAGCACGCACAAGTGTGGTGGAGGCATATCTGTAGGAATCCCCCAGTGAAATATGACAAGTAGCATCGAAGGTCGCACGAGGGTCGCTTGATTAAGATATGTCTACCGGTACTTGTAAATGGCAAGCGAGCCAAGTGTGTCAACACAAGTTTCTATGTCTGAAGCTTTCATGTTCGAACCCAGAGGGGAGTATGACACGTAGCTATTCCTCTACCTTTGCAGCACGAGTACCAGTGTACAAAACTCAGTCGGGATGAAAACATTCCCCGGTCACTTCGTGCTCCCTCCCGGAATCCAATCGGGGATGGGCCGTCCATCCCATCACACCAAAATCCTCTGCCTTACTTTACCGTACTTTTCAGCGCCGGATCGGCGGAGGGCTATCGCGATATCGAAAACGAACGAACGGCGAATGAACAGGGCAAAACGAACGGCGAAGTGGCGGCGGGAAGAAACTAAACGAACGAGTGATGGGCTGTGAAATCAACACGCCAAGATCACTCACCTGAAACGATCGCACAACTTAGATAAATATCATAATATTCGTAGCTACAACTAGCTACAAGCCATATCCCAATCCAGGTAACCAGCTTAACTTAGAGGCGGGGGGGACTCTTCACTTCGCCAATCTCACCCTCACTATCGCGCACTCTCTCTAACTAACTAACGGTAAAGGCAGGGGTATATATCCACGACACAAAAGACGACAAAGTCCTAACCCCCCCGTCCTTCCATGTACTGAACGGGACGGATTGGGGTCGGAAAACCAAACACACAGATCGGGTAAGCTTCACTCACTTACAAAATCAAACAGGTAATCTATACCTCGCACAAGAAACAGAGTTCCGAAATTTGGTCCGTACAGGTAAATTGACGCAAAGAAATGAAAGAACAACCAAAGAAGAATGATTAAACATAGGTACAGGCTTTCGTGTTCGTTGTTGACTTTTTTCGTTCGTTGTTTCCTCAAGTCCTTCTCCACAGCTTTTCGTTGGGTTTTTTCCTCTTGTCTGAAGAGGGAGGAAGGAAAAAATCCCTTTAGGTCCTCTCTGGTCCACAGCACACCACCATGGCCAGTTACAACCAAACCCTAACAGTTCAAAAAAAACCTAACTCAACAATACAAAACCCAGAACTTAAGAGAAAAAAAAGGAAAACAAAGCAAACACACTTTCCACCCTCACAGTACGTCTCCCATATACTAACAAATAAAAAAAGAGAACAAAGAAAGGACAAACTTCGACTATTCGGCCTCCGGCCCCGCCGTATAGGTTTTCCGCTTTCCTTCGTGCCTTCCTTCCTGTCCTCCGGCCATGCTTCCGGCGGATGCACTTCTCCAAGACTGCAGCAGATTCCTGCGACCGAAGTGCTTTCCCGAAAAGCCAAAGTGCCCCCGATGCCATAGTGCGCCTGGAACAAAAGCGCACTCCCGCAGACTATGCGAACAACCAAACAAACCATCCGGAGAGCATGCCGGACAACACCTCGCGATCTCTAACACGTACATGGGCCGACCACTCGTATACCAGTAGGACTCTTCCGTCCAGGAATGGTATGATATGGGATCCCGATTTCCGACCTGCCACTACTGCCTCTCTTGCTCGTTCCACCTATGGGCCGATGGACAATCTTATGATGAGAAATCAGAAAAAAAATGCGCGTTCATTCTTTTCTCGTCCTCTTCCCATACCATACCATACCATACCATTTCCCATGTGCTCCCCCCTCTACTTCCCTTGTCTTCCCTAGACATATACCTTTCCTTCTCCACATGAACCTTCCACTTCGGTACTTCTATCCACGCCTCTTCTGCCGAGATGATGATCAGCCAGAATATATTTCACGCTAAATAAATAGAGCATGCATCTGCCATCTCGCAAAGGGGGGTGAAAATAATAATATGAATAGTGACTAACTTACAAGCTCGCCCGGTGAAGCGTGAGTTGAATGGGGGTGCCGTTGTGAAGCACGAGTGAGCGCAGATGATTAGTGAAACTCTGAACAACAGCCTATTGTCTCTGACCGTATCGTATGATACTGCTATTCGTATTATAGGAGAGGGTCCGGGCTGTGATTCATAGTCCGCTCCTGCGGAGGATGCGATATTAGGGGAGCGAGAGATGTACTGGAGTTTCATTAAGTTTGTTAGAATGCTGGGCTACACAGGGCCTACGAGGAACCCCCTCCGGGACAGATACTAGGAAGGGCATGGGAGGTTGGTGGATGACTAGGATGGTATTCTGGGGTTTAGGATGGTCGGGTGAATAATAACAAACGAGTGACTTGTAATGATTCCGGGAGGTAGAGCGGTTACAAGGAGTTTGTCGGGTGGGAAGACAAATGATACAAGTACCACATCGTTTCCTATTACACGAACTAGGATATATCTAAAGGGGGAAAAGAAAAATACAAAATGGAATGGAAAAAGAAGAAAAAACCCCCACATGTCATTTCAACGTGCGACAATGCGATAGCCCACAACACATAACCTCTAGTTCGTCATTCTTGTTAGTTACACATGGCCTAGTACAAGTACTGTCCCCGTATACCCCTATAGCCAGCCATGCCGCTAGAAACGAGTAACCCACTCTTGCCACCTCGAGCCCGGCGAAGCTGCAAGCGATACAATGCATCACCTTGTCGGCCCACCACCCTTGACGAAGACTACTCTCCTGCGAAAAAAATAACGGACCACACGGCGAGCAAAGCGTGGCCGCTGACCCTCTCTGTTGGCTGGCAGTGTCTGTCCTGTATGCCGCTCGACCGTCACAGAATTGTCAGAATCTCCTTGGAGCCGCAGCACCCTAGCCAGGTTGTTGGCACTTAATTGGGTTTTGGGATGGTCTGGTACAAGAATCTTCTTGCGCTGCTCTAGTGCATGCCGATGCATTGTCTCTGATTCCTTGTACTTCCCTTGGCTTTGAAGCACACTGGCGAGATTGCTAACACTTATTAAGGTGTCTGGATGGCCTGGTCCAAGAATCTTCTCGCAACCCTCTAGTTCACGCCGGTGCATCACCTCCGATTTATAGTACTTTCCTTGGGATTTTAGCACTTGAGCCAAGTTCTTCAGACTTGGTAGGGTGGTTGGGTGGTCTGGTCCAAGAATCTTCTCACGCCCCTCCAGTGTACGCCGATTCAGCGCCTCCGATTCATCGTACTTTCCTTGGGAGTCTAGCACAAGAGCCAGGTT